TGTTGTCTTCTAAATCCAAAAAATCCATTAGTATAGTGTCACATTTTTGGTTGTGGAGCAGTTGAATGTAAATTATTCTTGCTATTAAGAGAAACCTTGCTGGACACTGTGGCTTGTTGTGTAAGCCCAGCTACTCAGGAGTCTGAGGCAGGAGGAGTGCAAGTTCAAGGCCAGGTTGGGCAACTCAGCATGACCCTGTTCCAAATTAAAAAATTTTTAAAGTGATTAGGAATGGTAGCTCAGTTGTATATTGCTTGCCCGGCATGTGAAGCCCTGGGTTCAATTCCCAGTACAGGGAAACAAAAAATCTTGACAGGCTCCATGCCATTGAACTCTCAGAAATTTCACTTAGATGGAAAGCACCTGAATTCTTATTGGATTTATTYCCCATGGTCTGAGACAAAAATATCTTTCCAAAGTGCTTATGGTTTTCACTACTTCTTGTTTAGTTGGCATAATGTCATCAGTGTAATGGACCAATGTAATGTTTTGTGGGAGGAAATGTGATCAAGGTCCTTGTGAACTAAATTGTAACATTTGGCTGCAGAACAGTGAAGATGTGTCAGTCTTACCAGCTGAAAGCTAACTCTTTCTAGTAGTCTTTACTAACAGGTATTGAGGGAAAAAAAATATTTTTGTGAGATCAATAGCCGCATACTAGGCCAATGGGTGTGTTAACTTGCTCAAGCAGTGAAATCACGTCTGTAACAGCAGCTGCAATTGGAGTCACCACTGGGGTAAGTTTGTGTGTTTTATGCATTGGACAAATTGGTGGGCTGAATGGGGTTGTGGAAGGAATCACCACCTCTACCCCATCTTTGATGGTGGCACTAATTTTTAAAGTCCCTCCAGGAATGTGGTATTACTTTTATTGTTTTCTCAGGCAGAGGTAGTTCTAATGTTTTCCAATTGGCCTTTCTTGCTATAATAGCCCTGATTTCACAAGTCAAGGAATCAATGGGRGATCTTACCAGTTGTTGAGTATGTCTATGATAAGCATGTATCTGGACTAAGAAAATAACCAYAAGATAAGTTTACGGACCCATTTATGCCCACTTCTCTGTCTCCATTCTTATTTTTTCACCCCTGTGGAAAATCCAGTCCCTCTCAAATGCATTTCAGATATTTCCAGGGGTACCCATACAACCCTTCTCATGTACTCTTTTTTTTTTAAATATATTAATTTAGATATTTAGGAATTGAACCCAGGACTGCTTTGCCATTGAGCCACACCTTTAGCCCTTTTTATATTTTTGAGACAGGGTCTCACTTAGTTGCTTAGGGCCTTGCTAAGTTGCTGAGGCTATCTTTGAACTTGTGATCCTCCTGCCTCAGCCTCAAGAGCCGCTGGAATTACAGGCCTTTGCTATCACACCTGACTACACATGTACTCTTAAAACACGAGGCATCTGCCAATTTCCTTTGCTTTGTTCCCACCCTTTGGGATAAGCAATGCCCCTCAACCCTGGTCATTGCTGCTACTTCTGCCTGAGAGTGTGAGTACCTAGAGGCTGCTGGATCCTACAACGGAGGCCAAAGATGTTGTCACACCCTAAAAATGATAGAACTTCCATCTCAACGTCTTTCCCCTGGTGACTTGAGTCAAATACCTCCTTTCGGTTTGCAGAGGAAGGCCCAAGTAACAGGCAAGGATGTGTTTAGAATCACCATCCCCCTATAATGATACCCATATTCCATTAACCAAACGTCTGCACCCCAGGCCTCTTTACCTTTAGGTAGATTCTCTTCTCAAGAAGACCTGCTAGTTACTTAGACCTGTGCTACTCAAAATGTGCTCAACAGATGGGACCATTCTGCACACTTTTACAAGATAAGTACAGAAATTGGGTGTGAGTGCTTTAAAAACTTACCCAATTTGATATAGTAAATTTATGTCTCTTGAATCTGATAACAAAATTTGGGTTTATGATGTTTATGCTTTTTATTTCACTTTTCTAGTCATTTTTAATTGAATTTTACAAAATCTCTATGATAGATTCCAAATTTTAAAAAATAAAAATCTGTTCCTCCCCTACAGATGGTTTTGAAATCATGGCCAGGCAGCCAAATCTGTAGTGAGCAGAGCATTGGCCCTCACATGACACTCTGYAGGCACTATAGCACCCTTGATTGGGAAGAGTTTGGTAAAAACATGGGTCTACTCTGCAACCAATCAGAGGTGGAGGGGAAGAGAAGTAGGACTGATGTTCACTAGAATAATTCTTTTGCTGTCTGCCTGAAGTGGGACACAAGTCTAATTCCATGACCTGCACACCCAACTCATTCTCTTGCATGCCACAGGGTGGAGGAAGATGATCTGCTCCACTGAGTGTCCTGATAGTGATTCTGGAATGGGGCTGCTTTCCCTCAGAAACAGTACTGGACTTTCCATCCACGGGGGTGACTCTACTGCTCCGGAGGGAACTTTGCTCCTGTGTACCAAGATTCTCCCAGAGGGAATTCTGAGAATAACTGCTAATGCTTTGACAGTGTCCTGGGGCACTTCATTTTAGATAAGCACATACCATTAGCAGATGGGGCCTCACATGGGCACCTCACTCACTGTTCTCCATATCCCCCTGCTCTGATCTGCATTGGCACAAACATCTTCCCTGGYTTTGGATTTGGAGAAATAGCTGAGGACCCCTCACCCGGCTCCTCTCAGGAGTTGGAAGTTCAGCCTCTTTAGGAAGTTAAAATTTCACTTCAGACCTCTTATTCTACTCTGCAACAGCGGTATAATACATTATTATGTATTTCAAGTAGACTTAGTGTTACTCCCATAACTGGCAACAGAAGTTGTTCTTTAATAAGGCCCAGAGTGCATATAGGTTGACCCCATATAGCTTATTCTAGGGAAGAGATTGTTATAACACTTTGAGAAATCTCTTCCAGATCATTTGGAGAAATATCAGATAAAGATAACCCATTTAGGAGACTGCAGAGAAGAATCTTACCTGGTCCTAAGTGCTTAGTGGATATATGCGTTAACTCCCCATGTCAGAACCTACCASAAATGGTTTTGTTCCTATTGAAGCTTGCTTTCTATCATATAGCTTTGTGTACCTCTCTTATAGTATTTATATTATTTACTTCTATGCACTGTCATCACATATCTGTTTATTGTCCTGTCCATAATTTAATTAGGAATTCCTGAAGGAATGAAACTATCTCTTTTTTTTTTCTTTATGTTATTAGGGATTAAACCCAGGGGTGCTGAGCAACATTCTCAGCCCTTTTTATTTTTTATTTCTTTATAATTTTGAGACAGGATCTCACTAAGTTGCTGAAGCCCTCGCTAAGTTGTTGAGGCTGGCTTTGAACTTGTGATCCTCTGTGTCAGCCTCCTGAGTTGCTGGTATCATAGGCATGCAGCATCACACCCAGCAGGACTGAAACTACCTCTTCARCTTCCAGTCTTTTGTGGCTCATAGTTTAACTTCAATATAATTGCTTTGTGATATTTATCAGTTGTATTTCTTTTAAATTTCAAAGACTAAAAATGTGCTACTACATGAACAGCAAAATTGTGCTTTTATTTATTAAACAGAAACAAAGAATATAAATAAACATGGTATGTTTTACAAAAAGCAAAATCAATATTACCTACACAAAGCAACACCCTTGTTTTTAAGAAAACCATACAAGAGATGTATAGTATACATCTATAGATGTATAGATGTATATGAGAGTTATTTGATACTACTTTGCAAACTTGACGTAATACATTTTAACTTGACATCTGTTTTATCCAGTATAATACAAACATATGAAATACATTAAAAACCTTGTTGAAACATACAATATGTACTGTAATTTCCAAGTCTTAAATGCTTAAATAATAGAGGGAACTTGGTTAACAAGGTATCCCTTGGGACTGCAAGAGCAGTGTTATATCATACCTTTGCACCATAAACTTCTGCCTCAAAAAGCAGGATCGATAAAGATACTAGAAAAAGTTAGAATCTGCTTATGAACTCTGGACACCAGCATTTCATTCTCACTTCAGTCTTACTCTGCTTTGCAACAGCCGTGTAACACGTTATTATATATTTCATGTAGATTTAGTGTTACTCCCTCAACTGGCAATAGAAGTTGCTCTTTAGTAAGGCCCAGGGGGCTTAGAAGTTAACCCTATATAGCTCATTATAGGAAAGGGACTGTTATAACACACTTTGAGAAATCTCTTCCAGATCATTTGGAGAAATGTCAGATAAAGATAACCCACTGCTTACATGTCYTCTATTATTATTATAGATAAAATAATAATTATTATGATCTACAAGTTATCTACCACTTTGTTACCCTTCCTCAATTTATGTGTTTTCACGCTTCAAAACATTTCCCCCAAATGGTCAAGTGATGTTTTTAAATTGTATCTTCATGTACCTTTATTGTCCCACATAATTGCCCATAGGACATTTAGTTCTCATAGTTTTATCATTAGAAGTGAAAGACACACTAGATTTCTAAGGCTTTTAAAAGAGAAAATAAATACAATAAGCAGGTTCCATTTTAGTTTTGGAAACAGTTTTTGACTTTTGTATAAAGAACAAAAAAGCAAAAAACAACCTCTCCTTCAAAAAATCCTTGGTGTCTGCTATCTCCATATACTTTATAAAGAAGCTGTCTAAGCTTTCCAAACATACGACTGTTTACTTCCTGCATAATAGCACAACTTCGAGGTCAGTGAGCTGACCTTGACCCAGAGTGGAACTCGACAACTCATGWCAGCAAGCATGGGGGCTACTTGGAGTAAAGACAAAAATCCCTTCATCTTGCATTATGTGTTCTGAGAGTGAGCAGACCTGGAGGTGGGGGTCCATTGATTTCTCTCAGAACAATTGCTTCAGTGTGCTGGACATGGCCACATCTTGGAACGGCAGCAGTTTCCCAAGAGTCTGTGAACATGGTATATAGGTCCTGGTCAGTATCTGCTTTTGATTTGCTTTTGAAGAAAAATCCTTGGTCAGCTTTCATCTGAATCCTGCTATGTATCACAGTACCAGGGAGCATTCCACCTTGCTCAGGGCCAAGGCCACTCTTTGGTGAGAAAGATCTATTTAAAGATGAATGACTGAGATCGGATTGTGCTTTCCTCTCGATTGAGCTGTTTTCTGATTTGTGACTGAAATAAAACACATGTGTATCTATTATAAAGTGATATCAAGAATAATCTCTGAAGTATTAAATAAGACATGCTGATTAGTAAAGAAGCCACGTAACTATAAATTATCACGCCCCACTCCCTGCATTAATCTGTATTTTTCCCAGGAGACATTTATAAAGCGGTTGCTAGAGAGTACAATTTTGGAATTAGTCTAATGCTTACAATAATCTATAAAATGCAACACTACTCAGTGGATCAAAAAGGGTGATAAAAATCTAAAATTGTTGATATGGAAARATGTTTATAATATATTGCTAAGTGGAATGAATAAATAACACCAGAGAATGGTTAAATTTTGTTTTAAAATATTTGCACAGGGAGAAATCTGAAAATGTGCATTTGATACATTTTTACTTTAATTTGTTTATAATGGTTATGTGTCACTTGGATAGTAAAGATAAGAAATTAATTCATATCTGAACAAAGGTTTCATAAGGCAAAGTATTTCCTTGCTGAATATCAAATACATTGGAAYAATCTCAAAATAAGTGGCATATTAATTTAGATTTCAAACTGAAAAAATTACCAAGAGCAGAAATCCCAGTATCTAGAAAGGCCTATCCAACAAGATTCTCAGATATGAGGAAACACCTATCAGATGAWTTTTTKGGGGTAGGRGGTACCAGAGATTGAACTCAGGGACACTCAACCACGGAGCCACATCCCCAGCCCTATTTTTTGTATTTTATTTAGAGACAGGGTCTCRCTGAGTTGCTTAGCACCTCACCATTGCTGAGGCTGGCTTTGAACTCATGATCCTCCTGCCTCAGCCTACCAAGCCTTACAGGTGTGTGCCACAGTGCCAGGCCTATTAAATAATTTCACACACATAAATAATAATTAGGAAACAAGTGTTTCATTTTTTAAAACATCAAAGATTTTAATTGGTATGCTGTAGGTTGGTATGTTTAAGTGTGTCCCTAAAAGATCTATATGAAAAGGCTTGGTCCCCAGGGTGGCAATATTAAGAGGTGATGGAACCTTTAAGAGGTGGGGCTTAGTGGGAGGCTTGTGGGTCAGGAGTGTGCTGCCCTTGGAAGGAAATACTGGTTGCCTGGAGTGAGTTTTCACAAAAGCAAGTTGATATAAATGTCTGAGCCTGGCTGACCTTTGTCACTCTCTGGCTTCCTTTTTGGCAATCTGATTTTTCTTTCTCTCCATAAGTAATTGCCTAAAGTATTTTGCTATAACAAAAAAAAAAAATGGATTCGTACATGGTATTTAAAGGAAAATTTCTGACAATTTAGAAGACTTTTTAGCTAGAGAAATAAGTCAGCTTTCCTCATTGAAGCATTCTGGTCCCAGATGCCCGCCTTCTGACAAACCTGGACTAATCTGCACACCTTAAAGGCAAAGTGACAGATGCTGGGGCACTAGGGAAGGCTCTAGGGYTGAGATTCAAATAAGCTCTTTCTTTTTACAATCATGTCTCCATCTTTTTTTCTGTTCCCCAGAGAAGAAACAGACTATTCCATAAGCCTGCAAATGACATCCCTTAGATTCTTGGGAATAGTCTGACTCAACAGAAAGACGTTTGAAATCCTCAACATCATTTCTCGGGACTGAACACTTAAAGACTTTTTATAACTCACCAATTTCCATCGTAATATTTTKATCCATTCATCCGCTTCTACTCCTGTCTTTGCACAGAGATAAAATGTCCTGAATGGAAATACTAAGCTGATAAGACAAAATAAAGAATGTTAGCTACTCCAGGTGGTAGGTTGAACATGTATTAGTGGAACACTAATTAGAATATTCCAAGAGAAAAAAGAATTGATAAAGGACCTGAGTAAGAAGTAACTTRAAGAACTAGTATAGACAGAGCTATAGCTGCCAACAAACTGCAGAAACATGTAGGAAGTTGTAGATTCATATTATCGTTATAGGCAAGGTTTATATTCTCTAATGAGACTTCAACAAAGAGGGAAAAACTATGTCCAGGCTGCCCCAGCTCCTTCACTATACATATCTTGAACTGAACACACAGTACAGGCTTATATATAACACTTGTGTGTCAACTGGGTTCTTAGATGATTCAGAACCTGTGATATGATTCAAAGAATACGCAAGACAGATGAGAGTTTGCGGAAAGAACTCCTTTGTGGTAGCTAGCTTTAATGAGGAAAACCCCGTCTTCAGTGGATGTAGGCAGTTATTTAGGAGAGGAAAAGAGACAATAAAGCTCCTCAACTAGCCTATTTCTGACCCTGAGTTAACGTCTACTGGAAGGAAGATAAACTTTCCTACTGACACAGAGGACTATTTCTAAATATGTAGTAATTCATCATTTGATTGTCTTTGATTATACAGTCAAAATCACTGGCATGATAAGGGCTAGCCCTAACTTATATCTTGTCAATCCTTCCTGAACATTCAGTCTAGATGAAAAATACTAAGATCATTTGTGAAAAAAAAAGGCTTGAGCTAAAATTCAGAAGGTTTCTATTATCCTAAAGCCCAACTAACATATTTTGCTGACACCAATAATTAATGCTGAGTAGTAAGAGTCTGTGTGTAGAAGGCAAAACCTTATGTGAGATTCAGTTAAGGAGTGAGTAGACATTGCAGGGGGAGGGGGTGATACTGGTATTGTACACACTCTGTGAAACTGATTTCTAGAATTGTCATTGATACTCTTTGTGGGAGACCCTTAGGTACCCATTAATACAGATAATTTTCTTCTTGCTAACAGAACCCCAGGCAATGAATCCTAATAGGTCAATTATGATTATGCTCTCACTTTCCTAGCCTTCCCTGATGCTAGGGATGATGATGATGATGGCCCYATTGTGGCCAGTGAATTATAAGGGGAAGTCTATAGGGAACTTTCTGGAGAAAGATTGGCTTTCCTGGTACAAAGGGACAGATGTAGCCTTACATCATTCCTACATCTTTCTTCAGATCTATGAAAACAAGTGGCCTAAATTTGGAGTAGCCACTTGACTCTGAAGTAGCYATCATGAGGAAAGGCCAAGAGAACTGCAAAGACACTGGACTTGGCCTTGCTGTGGAAGCTGCCTGCTTCTCCATTTCCTGTTATGTGAGAAAAATAAAACTCTGCTAGCTCATATGGCACCTTTATGCAAATTTTTAAAAAGATATCTATTGCTGCTTGATATTATAGAATTACCATGAGTTTTGTCAGGTGTGATAATGACATTATTGTTCTGCAGATAACATGTTTATTCTCAGAAGATACATACTTAAGCTTTTAGCCATGATGTTTACAATTGGTTCAGGAAAAAAAAAAGTGATAAATATAACAAAACATTGATGAATCTAGGTAAAGAGTATACATGTCTTCCAACTTAAGTATACACGAACAACTTGAAGATATAAATTGGTAAAAATTAAGACACTCCTTCTCAAGATACTTTATTTCTTCCAGTTAGAAAAAGTTCATAATATGCTAATATTAGAACAAAACACTTTTGTGCAATTGCCATAAATTGTAATAATAATATAAGTTGCCCATCATTGGAGTCAACAAAATTATAATTAAAATTTTGGAGGAAAACCTGAAAGAAAGAAAGCTAAGTTGTGAATAGCCAGGTGTGCCTATAATCCAGGGAAGGTGAGGCTGAATCAGGAAGAATGCAAGTTTGAGGTCAGTTTGGGTAATTTAGCAAAAATTCTGTCTCAAAATTTAAAAAAGGGTTGAAGGTATAGCTCACTGGTGGAGTGAGTGCTTGCCTAGTTAGTGCATGTTATGGTTCTGGATTTAATCCCCAGTACAAACAAACAAAAAAATGTGAATGTTCACAATGCAGAATTTATATCATATATGTTATGGCACACAGCCAAACCCAGGCCACTTGCCAATTTGTGTATGTGGGTGGGGAGGGGTGTCGGGGATTGAACTCAGAGGTACTTGGCCTCTGAGCCACATCCACAGTCCTATTTTGTATTTTACTTAAAGACAGGGTCTCACTGAATTGCTTAGCATCTTGCTTTTGCTGAGGCTGCCTTTGAACTTGCGATCCTCCTGTCTCAGCCTCCAGAGCCGCTGGGATAACAGGCGTGCACCATGGCGCCCGGCTCTGCCAATTTGTTTAGATCTCTTTACGTGAGGTAATATTTTACACACGGCTGAAAGCAGGCCTAACATGTATGCACTGTGTGATGGTGAATCCACATCCCTGAGTTCCACACGTAAGGAGACATTAAGTCATACAGCTTTTTATTCCTGAGCTAAAATAAGTGTCTGAAAAGAAGACTTTTAAAAACATTTCCTTTATAAAAAGAAAAGAAAGAAAAACCAACTTACCAAAAACAGTTTACCCTTTCCTGTGAATAATCAAATTGAACAGCTGAACATTCCCTTAGGTCTAGGATCCGAATTGGCTCTGGAGACTTAAAAAATAAAACAGAAAGAGCAACCTACGTCATCATAAAAATAATCACATCAATCCGTCCATCATTTATCATCTAATCAGACTTATTAGAATAATATGTACTCCATGTTTGTATAAATATATCATGTATAACTAAAAAGAACAAATTTTTAAAAAAAGACTTCCACCAGGTACAACTGTCAGTTTTTTTTCTCTAAGAGGACTGATATATATAATATATATATATATATATATATATATATATATATATATATAAATAAAAGACGTTTGAAGGAAAGTTACCCACCCCTCTGGTTTTAGAATTGGCCTTTCATGAAAGTAAGCATTAAGAAGAAAGACATTGCCTCTATCAACTTACATTTGACAGAGATGGATTTTTACCCATGGAAGGGAGTGTTATTTTTCTCTCTTTTAAAACTTCTACTTTCTCAGAAATTTTTTACAAAGAAAGTGAGAAGAAATARAATAATCTTAAATTGGCATAATAAAATGGGCATGGGAATGGACATATTTTAATAAACAGAGAAATTGCTGGAGAGTGATATTTAACAAATTGTGGCAAAAGAAAAATTCTGTTACYCTACACAGAAGGAATTATGTGCCCTAGAGAACAATAGTTCAGCCAGGGCAACAGGGCAACTCTGGGATACACATCTTGTCTTTGCAAAAGAACTCTATTCATATCAGGAATCGGGAACTCATCTCGAATCATTTATTGTTTCAGGTGGACAGAAGGAGAATTTCAGGGATTTTTAAAGGCAGATGTTCCTTTTATCTAGAGAGTTGGTTTTTAAAGAAAAATATATTATGTATCTCACCATCTGGTCTTTGAAGTATTTCAGTTCATTTCTGTGCAAAGTGAACCATCTTGTTTTCCAGGTCTGAGGGAAAAAAAAATTAAAACTTATAGGTTTTGAGTACAGGAATGCAATATCTGAACTAGATAGTTTACTTTTAGTTTTGAAGTATCTAGAAGATTAGATAAAAATAAATCTGAAAATTATTGTGTGACTGAGAAAATATTTTCAAAATATCTAATACATAATTAAAATTGATTCCATGCATTAAGTTCATAAAGAAGGCAGGGAAATTATTAGCTTATTTAAACAAAAAAGATGTAGCCTCTCATAAATATTCAAGATGATTATAACAAACAACTAAAATTTCTATATTGTTAACTTTTATAATAGAAATAGATAACATTTTTGAGCACTTTCTGTGAAATACATACTATTCTTTTTTTAATATTTATTTTTTAGTTGTAGTTGGACACAATAACTTTATTTTATTTATTTACTTTTATGTGGTGCTGAGGATTGAACTCAACATGTACTTACAGTAAATATTATATACTTTTTTTTGGGGGGGGTGCTGGGGATTGAACCCAGGGCCTTGTGCATGTGAAGCAAGCACTTGACTGAGCTATATCCCCAGCCCTAAATATTATATATTATTTATACATATATTAAATATATTTAATTACATATGTATATATGTATGCATATATACATCTATATGTGTATGATTGTGTGTGTATACAATCCTCATTTAACAGCCAATCCCACATATAACAATGCCAAATATTATTTTTTGTCTTACAAATAAGCCAATTAAAGTTTGGAAAACTCAAACCACATGAAAATATAAACCTTGCCTAAGAATTCTATGGCAAAACTGTTGCTGCCACTGTCACCTTCTTCTATACTAACAGAATCCTTATACATTCTGGGTGGCAATGTAACTAGTTAAAAGAAATAACACGATTTAAGAATAAATATGCTCAAATGTGAATATCCTCGGTCTTCAGGAAACATCCAACCTAGTAGGGACACAAACAAATGTTTAGGTTGGATTCAAGCAAACCAGTACCCCTAAAAAAGAGGCTAAGTGTCCCTACTCTGATATAGGAAGGAGCAGACGCAGTCCCTTCATGAAGGTCTCTGTGATGCACTAACATGAGATAGAAGACAATCACAGAAATGGGGGACAGTTGCATACAATAGACTTATAAAGCTCTAAATTATGTTTTCTTTGGGATTTTAAAATAGTTTTATTATTGTCAGTGATGTTTTGGGCCTACCTTTAGTCCACATTTCATATAATTTTGACTTCTTGGTTAGAAAAAAGGAAAGAACAGAAGCATTCTGCCTTATCATACCACCTTTATCCTCTCTCATTCCATTAAAAGGATGACATGGCTTCTGGTGTCTTCATTGTAGAAAACCAATGCAAGGCTTTCTAAAAGAATAAGCAAGTATTTTTCCAGAATTTTGACTAATCAGTCATAAAAGTGAACTCTTTCAAATAGGTAAAACTATAAGTGGGTCAAAATGAGTTGGCAATTATGCTGTTTAAAAAAGGACTGTCAAAATGAGAATTGAGTCTGTGAGACAGGTTCTCCTTCTTTGTGGCTGGCATGAGCAAAAAAACGCACTTCCTTACCTTGACGAGGCCCCCCTGTTTGGTGAGGTAGCCTTCTTTGGTACCCAGCTGAAAAAGAAAGAAGCACTAAGTGAAGTGCAGAACAGTCACAGCATGATGTCTGTCTCTCTATTACTGCCTTATTATGAATAAAGAACAAGTCTGCCTTTGATCCTTAAATGATGGGCTTTCATTCTTCACCAGGCACTTGAAAATCTTCCACATCCTGTCAGAGATTGTTTAGGCTGGATCATTTGGTGTAATTTTATAGCAACAGGCAAGTAGGGAAAGGCTCTCTGCTAACTGCAGCTAGCAATTTGCAAATAATAAACCACATCTTTTCATTTATAAAAGTCAGCATTTGTGGAAGCGTGCTATGTGTAATCCAGCGGCTTATACTGTTGCAGGAGAATTAGCACTAAACACGCATATGCACATCGATGGTCAACCATAGTGGGCCCTCCTTAATCACCGGTTTCACATCCTCAGATTCAACCACAAATTGAATGTATCTGGAAAAGAAAATTGTCTGTACTGAATATACACAGAATTTTTTCTTGTCATTATTCCCTACATAATACATTTTAACGATTTACATAGTGTTTATGTTGTATTCAATATTACATCATCTAAGATGATTTAAAGTCCATGGGAGGATGTGCATAAGTTATATGCAAATACTATGCCATTTGATATAAGAGACTTGGGCATCTGAGGATATTTGTATTCATGGAGATCATGAAACCCTTCCCCACAGGTATAGAGAGATGACTGCACTTTTTGGAAACTGGATTAAGAAAAGTAAAAGGATTTCTTTATTTTGGGGTTTCCCAGGGTGTGCATTATACTAATATGCTTTGTAAATTTTAAAGAAGGAACCTCAGAAGTAGCGTTTCCAACATTTATTTTTATTACATATTTTTCCCATCTCCACGTTTCCCTACTTTCTCCAAAACATTTTTTTTTTTTTTTATACCAGGGATCGAACCTCTAGGGGCATGTAATCATTGAGCCACATTGAGTCCAGCCTTTATTATTATTATTATTATTTTGAGATAAGGTCTCACTAAGTTGCTCAGGTTGACTTTTTTTAATATCTATTTTTCAGTTTTCTGTGGACACAACATCTTTATTTTTTTTTATGTGGTGCTGAGGATTGAACCCAGAGCCCCGCGCATGGCAGGCAATCATGCTACCGCTTGAGCCACATCCCCAGCCCACTCAGGCTCACTTTAAACTTGTGATCCTCCTGCCTCAGCCTCCCAAGCCACTGGGATTACAGACATGTACCTCTGTGCATGGCTGCAAACCATTTCTTAAGGCTCATATCTATGGAATAGATATGCAGGAGTGCAGATTTATTCACACCTGATTTATTCAAAAGGGATTTGAAGTGGGAATGAGTCATTTCTTTTAACTYACATATTACTAAATCAATACCAAATGTTACCTAAAACTTATGAAATATAGTGAACAATCAGGGACTGCATGAATAGATATCTGCATGAGACAAGGAACCTTAAATCAAGAAATTAATTTTCTCCATGTATAGTTTGTGTGCATATTGGTTAGAATTTTAGTGGCTACTTCTATTTTATTTGTATTGGTGTTACTTAATGAGTAGGATATAATTTATATGGTAAAAAATCAAACTATATAAACATATATACACTGATAAGTCTGTCCATTTCTAGGCTCTTCCTTCTTGCAGCTTCTCTAGGGAACTACTTTTATTACTGTGTATTTTTTCAATGTTTATTTATAAGAAATATAATTTCACAAATAAATGTATCTTGATTTTTGCATTTCTTGCACGCTACAAAAAAAAGAAATTAATTCATAAATTCCTGATGAAACTAGATTTCTCATAGGATGTTTTGTCTAATATGATCTTATGTCAGAGTGCTCGCCTAGCACAGGTGGGACCCGGGTTCGATCCTCAGCACCACATTAAAAATAAAGGCATTGTGTTGTGTCCATCTACACCTAAAAAATAAACATTAAAAAAAGTTTTTTTTTTAAAAACAAAACAAAACAAAACAAAAACTGGGAAATGACTAGGTTGATGTCAAGGTTCTTTTTATGGGAGTTTCCAGACTGTTTTTTTCCTGAGATGAATTTTGCCTACCAAATAAAAAGAGGAACAACTACCAACCACAGTACAAAGAATTAAAGCAAGAAATAATATCCAGTGACTTTTAAAAGTGCTGTGGCATAAAAGTAAGGATGGACTTCCCAGGTGTTCATTTAAACAATGTTCAACAATATAGATGAATTTGATATCATATAATCAATATTATTTATTTCGATGTTAAGGAAATTGATCCAATTGAATTGAGTTTAGTTATATAGGGCAATGGCAAAAATTACCATTTGGGGGTGGTTGTGGGTTACTCTCTATASAATTAAAATAATTAAGGGTAAATTGTTATGTAAAAGACCTTAATGTAATTATTCACTGATATCAAGCTAAGGAATAGTGCTGTTCATTTATCTTACCTCCACCCAAATAATATGCTATAAGTCTAGCATTTTTCTATGGTTTTGATAAGTGGAAGACTACCAATTGAAGAGCTGAGAATATTAATTTTATTCCAGGGTCTCAGATTAAGAAATGAAATAATTATATAGATTTGTCTTTGTCTTTTAAAAAATTTATGATCTATAACAAAAAAGATGTTTATAAGAACATCTTTCCCAAGCTGGAAACAAGCTTAATGTTTAAAAATATAGGATCAGCCTTTCTGACTACCTTCTTTAAAAAGCCATGGGTGGGGGTTGGAGCAAGCAGGCAGCAGTGTGAGTGTGTGGTGGCACATGTGCACCTTCATGGAGGGTGGTAGAGCCCAGGCAGTGTACAGGGAATATTTTTGTGAATGATGGTGGTGATGGGTCAGCAGCAGCTTGGAGGGAAGTGTTAAAGCCCAGCAGGGTGAGGAGAGCTTCTGCTCAAAGTGGTAAAAGTGGTAGATGGTGCACAGTTTTAGAGACAAGTCATGGAGTGCATGTGCAGTGAGGGCAGGGATGGCATTGGCCTGGAACTGGGTGTTAGAGCCTGAGTTGGGTGAGCAGGGTGTCCAAGTAGGGTCATGGGTAAAAGCAGCAGCAATTGAAGATCGCTTCCATTCAGTTGATTATCATAGAAGTAAATGTATAGAGGATAATGGGGTCAATATTCCTCACTGTGGGACAAGGTTATTATAATATGAAAAAGGAAAAAACAAGAATGAGTTTTGTGGTACTGGATTAGGATTGAAGGTACTGGTATGAACCCATGGAAGGTGAGTGGATATATGGACAGATGAATAGATAGGTAGATATAGACCAAAAAAAGTGCGTGTGGATTCATATGTAGATGTATGCATATTTTCCTTTTTCATTGAGTGGTTAGCAGAATGACACTGCAATGAAAATAAGCAAATACTGCTCAAATGTTGATTTCTAAAGCACCACTTTGCAGAGAAAGGAACAAGTTTTTTTTTTTTTTCTTTCTTTCTTTTCTATTGAGAATTAGCTGGTTCCAGAGCTGGGAACAAGGAAAATATAAGTTTGGAACATCCTGCTGTATCAGAAAGTTATAAAAGCATTTTGAGACCATATGAACACAGAAGTCATCTTGAAAGACTGGGGAAATTTAAAGGATCAAAATAAATAAGCATAGTCATGATTATAACCTATCAATACAAAAAGGATTGGATAAATGTGGGAAATAAAAATATTTCCCTTACAGTATAATAACAGCTAATATCAGAGACTTGCCATTTGTTGATATCACTGTAATAATTAAAACAGCAAAGAAACATCAATAAATACTAAAATTGGTAGATAAAATTTTGATGAGAAGTAGGATATTTGTATAGTCTCCAAAACCTCCACAAATATTTATTAATAAAAAAAGGGGGAAATGATTTTAAAGTGAAGAAATGTTAAGTGCATACATTGCTTAAGTCTTCCAACACCCACCTTAATAGGACAAACTGAAATTGTATCCATGTGAGAGTTTGCAATGAGAAACACAAAGCATCCTTCTTGTGGTATTTCTATCAAAAATACAGAACTCAAATCTAATGATGATTCAGTGTCAGATAAACCAAAATTGAGGAACAGTTCACAAAATAACTGACCTTTAATTTTCAAAAACGTCAAAGACATGAAGTCAAGGAAAAACTGAGGAGATGTTTTGTCTTGAAGAATACTCAAGAGATGGGACAAATAAGTGTAATTTGTAACTGTGTATTGAATCTTTTCCCTATAGAGAACCTTATGGAGAAAACCTTATAGAGAAATTTGAATGAGGTCTGTGAATAAAATGGTAGCACGGTATTAATGTTAATTTCCTAATTTGAATGGTTCTGTGTGATCATGTAGGTAAATGCCCTTGTTTATAGGAAATGTGCCATGGAAGTCTTCAGAGGAATGGGGTATCATGTAGTCAACTTAGTCTCTAATGGCTCAGGAAAAACAGAGTTTTTTGTACTATTCTTTTAATTATTCTGTAGGCTTGGAATTATTATAAAAAACAGAACATAAAAACCTAATAGAGGAATTACTAAATAAATTGATGTACCAAAATAATGGAATATTTTCTTAATGATGTTTTAGGAAATTTCTTAATGTTTTAATGTTTTAATCTTAATGTTTTAGGAAATTTCTTGATGTTTTAAGAATTTTCTTAATGATGTTTTAGGAAAGTATGTAAAGACATGAAAGCTGAACATAACATATAATTAAATAAGCATATTTATAACTACAATATAAAGCTCATTACATATATATACAATTATATATAATATAAAGCATATATATATATATATATATATATATATATATAGAGAGAGAGAGAGAGAGAGAGAGAGAGAGAGAGAGAGAGAGCGCTAACATATGTGTTTGGAAGGACAAACAGCAAATATTAAGTGTGAGAAAAACTTCACAGATTGAATAATAATACTGAAAAACACCAACATGCAAGGGAGATGCCTAAGAAGAGGAACTATAAAATGTGTCAGAGATCACAAAATATAGAACAATGTTGCAGAAGCAAAGGAAACAACTTTTAGAAGGAGAGAATT